TTCCAACCTCAGTTTGGTTAGATTGGTTTGACAAGGCAGCCAGGTTCACACGTTCATTTTGAGAAATTTTCTCAAAATTTTTCAGAGGAAGTAGCTGTCATGATCCCAGAAATTTTAATGAAATGAACTCTGCAAGTGCTCTATTTTAAATCAAGTTGGGGTGTCTTCTTTTTACTTTTAAATACGACTGATCACCCGAACGGAGGGAGCACTGTCTCCGAAAGTCACCGGAATCCAACGAAAGCGGAAATAGACGGTGAAAGGTTGTGAGATAAGCTACAATTTGATGTACATTTCAAAGACTTTGAACAAGGGGTATTTTCAGATTTCTGAAGTATGGAAATGTTTATCATTTCGTCTACAGTAGTTTATTTCTCTTGTGGGGAAGTTACCTCTATGATGTATAAGTTCAGCCCCTGATTATAAAAGCCCATTCTTTAAAATCAATTTTGGTTCAAAATGTGAATAGCACTTGATGGTTCCTGGAAATTTCCCTCCACGTAAATAAGGCCATATTCGATGCCAATTATAGAATGTTTTCCCTCTCTCTAACAATGTATTAATTTGAATAATTATGAGAGTTGCAAGAGAGGGCCGCACCTGCTGATAACCAATTAATGAAGTTATGGATTTTTGTGATGCCTGCAGAGAGAGGATTGTGAATTTTTAAGTACCTCCACGAATTAATAAAAAAAGATTGTTTGGTTAACATGTGTTGCACATTGTGCTAGGCCTCTGGCAATGGTCGGCGGGGTGTGCCGGCTCATTACCCACGTACGTAAGAGCCGTTATTGATATTTAAACTTTAATTGTGATCCGCATTCAAGAACTAAACAGGAGAAATTGCACCGTTGGGCATTGTACAGTTTTGAGAGTCGACAGATACCAATGCCTTGAAGCGTTCCAACTGATTTTTTTTTCAGGTTTGGTGATGAGTAAGGTATTTGTGCGCATTTATTTTTATAAATTGCAAGTACGGAGTTCGGTGCTCGCCATGATTCTGGTTGGAGAGGTGTGGTGTCGTAATCGTAGTGGGCGGGGGGCATCAACCTTCTCTGCTCTGACACCAACAAAGAAACAAACCAACAAAAGAAAGAGAATAAATAAATGAAATAACGATAATAGTAACAATAATAAATTAATGAGATGACATCCTCTAATGGTCCTTATTTGTATACCAGTAACTATGAAATGCATTTATACTTTGTGTCCGCCTGCCCGTAACGATCAAGCTTTACTGACACCCCTCTGGAGAAGTTCCTTGATCTGCCCTCGCATTAATTAAGATGCTTTCCTCCTGTGTTAACGTGCTCCTGCAATGTTGTTGTTTTTTTTTTACCCTTCAAAATGACATTCAATCGAGACTATTACAAGTCTTTCAGCTATATTTTGTGCTAATTGCTCCATACCATAGACCTATAATAAATTATGTATAGCTCTACGCTACATATGAAGATTGGAATAAATTCATTAGTGCGTGCGCCAGATTCCTACGGAAGCTTATAATGAACCATCTAAATTGCTAATCTACTGAGATAATTTATTGTGAAAACACTCAGACGCACACAGTTTTAAACAAGCGGATTTCTGCTGAAACTCAGACAAACCGTTATCTCAGTTTTTCAATTAAGAAAAGTTTGAAAATATGATCATAAACATAAATTGAACGATTATTTATACCTGAAGTGTCGAATTTTTAGACTTTTCTATACCAAAAAACTGAAAGAAATCTTTGACAATTTGTCAGAGAGTAATGTTATCTTATTTTAATGAAAATAAAGACAACAGCTCCTCAAAAAAAGCAGAATTCGGGGTAAACTGTAAAGGAAAAGCGTTGTTTCCACGAAAAGATTATCACAATGAAGTGGTAACTTTGGTCACAATTCGTCTCCGTAGATTCTGAAACTTCGCGTGAACAAGACCACTCTATAGCATCGCCCTCCCCCCTCCAAAAGATCAATTTAGTGTACAGAATGTCCTCTATGAGATACCCAAAACTGCTTATTCGATAAAGTCGGTTTAAATATATATCTACAAACACTGGGCAAGTTTTCGCACAGCGTTGGGTACCAGGTGAATCGCCGAAATGTTGGGCAAACAGATTACCCAACCGCTTTGATTCTCTCCTGAAATATGGATAAACCTGCCTCATTTGACCCAAAGGCTGTAGAAAATGTTATTTGTACCACCACTCCTTTTTACCCATCGTTTTGATCTTTTTACCTACCAGTTAGCGATTCACCTGGCATATACCCAACGTTGGGCCCAAAAATTGCCCAGCGCTTTTTCAGTGATGAGGGTTATTTGTTCTTGACTGTCTTGCCAAAACAATTTATGCTTTTTTGCAATCTGAGTTATCATTATATTGTCTTTTATACATGATCTAACTAATTAGCCATTGAAACTGTTTTGTCTCCATAATTATATTGGTCACCTTTATACTGAAACATCTGGCGCCTGCCGCATGTACCTCAGAGAAAAAGAAAAAGGTGTCATCAACACATAACTACGGTGACTGAGAATAAACAAAAACCTGTAATAAATTGATTCGGTGTTTATATTTGGGGTGATGGCGGTGTAAATGGTTCATTGAGTTAATCACAGTCTGAGGTTGGATTACAAAGGAATGATTTTGAGTTGATTTGAGGAGCGGGTATCAAACGAAGAAATAAGGTTTCGGCAAAAAAAAATTTAATCTTGAGTAACGTCTTCGTGACGTTGTTGATTTGAAAGGTTTTTCTGTGTTTTCACTTTTTTATATATACAATGGTGTCTTAGCTCGTTGTGAAAGAAAAAAAAACTTACATAGAAGGGAATCTGTCCAAGCAACACTAACAGGAAGAACATGTAGAGATCTTTGGGTGCTCTTCTTTTTCTGAGTTTGCTCTGTAGACTTCTGTCTGTGTTTACAGCAGGCCACCCTTCTTGTTATTGTCGATGCCGCTGCTATTGCTTCTCTTGCTCTTCTTTCCTGGTGTAGCGGTTGTTTTTGACTATTGTTGCTGATGTTTGTGTTTTTTGTCTACTGTTGTTGTTGTAACTTTTTGTTGTACGCTGTTGGGATTTTTTAAATGTTTCTTGCTGTTTGTGTTGTCCGCTTTTATGCTACTGTTGTCGCTTTTGTTGCCGCTACTTCTGCTGTCGTTGTCATTGTTGTTTGTCGACGTCATTTTTGTAATTGTCATCTTGACGTTCCCTGTTGTTGTTGCTGTTTTTTTTTGCTTGTTCATTTTCAGTACTATTAAATACAAAAAGGTTATCCTTAACCCTGTAAGAGCCCGGGGGACGGAATCCGAGACAGGTAGCCAAAACTGTATACTTTTTCCACTGCCGTGCTCAATGCACGCGGGCTGGCACCCTATACCCTTGAACATTATAATGACCGTAAAAACAAAATCATAAACGTGTGATTGAGTTCAATCTTCACATTTGTAATGATAAGGAGTGTCTTTACAAGCATGCTAAGTTTCAAAGAACTAGAGCATAGCATAGCCGAGTTCTTGGGGGAACCCTCTCCCCCTGAGGCTCTGTGATGGGCCAAAATAACCCGCCTCTTTTTATACACCAGAATGAAAGTTTTCAGGCGGTAAAAGAAACGCGTTCAGATCCGTTCAGGCAAGTTAACGCCCGCGTTTATCTGCTGGTGCCGATGGTCAGCCGGATCGCCACGGATCAATAACCATTACTGCCCGCAACAATGGCCGGGCGAATTAATTGGGAGAAATTAGACGCGTGCTCGACCGTGGGGGCAGCACGTGCTCCTATTGTTTTGCCGTGGCAACAGCTTGTGATGGGTTTCCCACTGTCCTTTGCACTTTTGTCACGCGAGGGATGAATATTTTTGTTACTCTGAATCACAATTAAGCTTCATCGTCCCCTGCAAAGCTTTTGATCTTTTCTTCTTTTTATAATAAGTACTGTATGAAGCTCACTAGAGTTCGTTTTTACGAGATCTATTTTTAGACACTGTCTCTAGTTTGGCGAAAAAAGTTTTTTTTTCACGACATATCGTGGCCATTCTCATGAGGTACATATGTTTTCAAAGTTCGTTTTTAAGAGATATGTATTGTCACATTCAGCTTTATATCTCATGGGCTTGAAATAACTCGTAAAACGAAATTGAAAACAGATATCCTAAAAATGATTTTCCCCCTAAAATAGAAATAATATTTCTACACATAAATCTCGCAAAACAAGCTTGAAAAGTACATCTTGTAAACCGCATATCAGGGGAAAATGTTCCTTGTCAAACCGACATCTTAATTGTGCGAGAGCTCTCGTAGTTCATCCGTTACACCGACGTGTATACTCACGATGTGCTCTCAGTCCGGCCCGAGAGCTTCGATAAAGGGCGAGCCGGCTGGAGTGAAGCTCGACACCTTGACTTCTTGCGTGACGTCTTGCACTAATAAGCAGGAAGTCGTCAGTTTGAATCTCACCCGAACCAGCATGAGATTTTCGGCAACTCTCGGATCACTATCTGGATAAACACAGGTCGGCGGGAGGCCAATTTTAATAACCAAATTAACATCCATTTTTTCTTCTGTTTTTGCCTGACTCGTCGTGTGGATATGCACCAAGAAAATCAGACTTGTTTCTTTGATTCTTCTCGGGGGAGGGGGTTGGTTTGATTTAGTTTTGGGCTGAGCTGGTTAGGGTTGTGTTGGATGTGAATTTAAATGATTTTACGATACTCGCGTTTGGTCACCTTGAAAATTACCAACAGTTCACCTTTTTTATTCCAAGTACACATTTTATTTATTTGAAAGAGTACATGTAAAAATGAGAGAGTCAAATCGTTTTTGTATTTTGTCAATATATTTATGTTTTCCTGGAATGAACGAAAAGCTATAAACGAAGCCTCAGAAGATGCCTATAACTGTTTGCGTGAAATCTGGCGGGAGAAACTGACAAATAAAATGAAATGAGCTGCTGTCAAAGGAATATAGCTAAGAAAAGAAAAAAGGTTTTGCTCAGTTTGATAAATAACAGACGCCAACAAACTCATTGGCATTCTACATACGCTACGGCTTCTATGTGTAGCTGTTTCTCTTAATTTATTTGACAAAAAATATCGATTCAGTTTTCGTCCTATTTTAATGACACAACTGAGTAATGTCTATTGTGTAGTATTTCATAACCGTTACACCGGCTTGTGCTTTGATTTTGTTTCGTTTTCTGATTCTGGGCACCAGCCACTGATAACAAAGAGTGACTGGTACTCTACTGATGAACATATTTTGGCATTAATAACTCCGTAGCTAGCGAACCATACTGGCTATGCAATGTCTCAACCACCGTTTAGTCAAAATGACGGGTTGAAATTATTTATCTCTCTTTTTTAAAAGGAAACCATGAAAAATATGAAAAAGTTTTAACATCTGGAACCAAAACAACTGGTAATAGCTATACGCAAGAATTATTTACAGACATATATTAAGATTGCACCTGTTGGCCTACATCATTAATTTATACTCTACGTTGGAAAATATCGACAATAGATTCACGACGTCCAAATATTACCACTAACACAATTATTTGTTCTTCAAACGGCCGTAAAACGAAAGGAGGATCCGCTATGGAGCGCCTTGCTGTACAAGGGATCAGCAAATTATTTCCACGCGACACAAAAATCAAAATGCTGTGAATATTTAAATCACGCACGCACAGAAATAGGAAAATAAGTTAATTCGTAGATTCATTAATCCGTATGATATAAAAAATCAAGAATATTTACAAAGACGTAGTATTGCTTTGCTCGATTCTGAAGGTCGAGCTATTACATAGCTCCACCATACGACAACTTTGACGTCGTCGTGATGTAGTTAACCATGGTGTTGTGACGTCAGGAGGTTCGGTTTCCTGTACAATTTAAACCCATCCACTTTCGCTTATATACACGCTGCGAGCGCAACAGGATTAAGTACGAAGATGGCTGGGGCAAGGAGGCCTCAGAACTAACCCCAATGATTCAGCTTTTAGAAATTGAGATCGTATCTATTCAAATTCATCCAAACGTCCCATGGTAGCTGATACGCATGCACACACGCACACTGGGTCTGGTTTTCAAGGGGATCCGGAATTCACACAACACTGAGTTTCAGATCTGGCGCCATTCTCAACGTAGCCTAAAGTTCTGCAACAACCCTTGAACCTGGTGACATCACATGACGTCAATGTCCCGCTCCTCTTCCTCGTTCTCGTAATCTCCGTCCCGACCGGCCATGGTCGGGCTCTGTCCCCTGCGCCCTTCTTCGTCGACCGCCTGGTGGTCGCCCATCAACAGTGGGCTGGGACAGGGGCTGCTGGCGGGAGACTCCAGCATCTCCTCCGTGTCCGAGCCCTGGTCCGCCATCAGGCCGCCGGCCGCCGAGTGACCCGGGTGATGGTTGTGGTGCTGGTGTGGGTGGTGATGCGGATAGCCATGCTGGTGGTGCTGGGCATCGGGGCTGACCTTCCCCTCCGCAACATCGCTCAGGTCCGGGTTGGGATTGGACTTGTTGGGCAAGGTGGACTCCCGCGACCCGCCGGACGACAGAAGCTCCCGCTCTTTGGAGTTACGCCACTTCATGCGCCGATTCTGGAACCAGATTTTCACCTTGGAGAGACCACCAAAACATAAAGGCTGCTCGTTACTAAATTGACTTGGGCATAGGGAACTTGCATCGACTGCCAAATTGGGAAATCATTTTAATATTCTTGTTCTGTACCCCGACTGCCTATATCCATAAAGCCCGTGGTTCTGTAGGACTACAGACCCATTCCTTGATTTTGTGTCTTGACGGGATCCAAACTAGATACACCGATGTAAATTAGCACACTTCGTCTAGCGTTCAGTGTAGCCTACAGGGACGACACCCACAGTGTTACTTTAATTTCTGAACTGAATGATATCTTACTGATAATATGGATTTCACGTTTCATTGTGGACACCAAAGCATGCTCCACGTGAAACATCCGGGATCATTGCACGGCGCAACACGTCACCTTTCACACAATAACAAAGGCGCTGGATTAGGCAAACTGCGAAATCGCTCTAAATGGTTTTCTGCATTTAAAACAAAAATCATTATCTAGATCCACAGTGGGAGAATGTGCAATAATGTTATTTATTTTTCCCTGGCTAGTATACCGGTAACTCGCTAAGAAATTGATTTAACTTCGGCTCATATTTTATTCCCACAGCGCTTTACCGTCGGGGTCCCCTTCAACAAATGACAACAAAAAGTCCGCTGCTTACCCATCAACAAACTGCGGGAGAGCATGGTTTAATTACACCCCTAAATGCGATCCGGCTCCGTTGTCCCATAGAAAAAGAAAACACAGACGACCACACCGTCACAAAAGGAACAGCGTGTGGTAGAACCCGGTAAAACGAAACGGTCGCGCCTTGGAGTCGTTCGGAGCCACAGTTTTGAAGTCGTGAAGGGATCGTTCAGCCTTCAGCCCAATCGCATTGGTCAGGCCTTGCGAGGGGAGAGACGTTGGTCGCACTAACAACCATCCCAAACCAGCAGGGCTCATCCCGGTAATTGGTCCGATGGAGTTACAGATCACGGATTTTGGATGTAATATTCATTGCCGCGCGCGTGGGCGAACATCGTATTGCACATGAATTTAATCGTTGGTATTCTGCCCGCCTTAAAAGGAGAACCGATATCGGCCAAAACACGCCTCCACCGCCCGAGAATTCATAGGTGGTGTCAAGTTCGAATCTTTTGCAAGTCAAATATGCACAAGTAAAGGTTCCTATTTTAAACCCAATCGTTCTGATTTGGTACCGCCGAGGTAATGACGTTCAGGAACTACGTTGACCGCGCTGGCGGTAGACCGTGAAGGGGTGAGTTTCTTGTCCAAGAACCCCCCGGGGGTGGTTTATTGTTACTGAGGGTCGACTATAAAGTTCGTCAGATGGTGGGATACTTAATCACCCCAGAACAAGCAGTTAAAAAGTGGCACGTCCATAAAGGACACAGTTTCGCACCTAGTCTTGTTCTGTGAGCCACAGTTTTGCCGATTTCGGAGTTGGCGAAACTCGTTTCCCCTTCTAAAGAGTGCTTTATGTTTTGTGTCAAGAAAATACCTCTATAGTTTAAACTTTTGCAACCAATCAGATTTGCTCGTGCACATTAAAAATGAACTTTAGATATTAATCAAGCGATTTTTTTCGAAAATAGGCAATAAGGCGATTCACAGCCTCCAATAGTTCCCAACGCGTTGGCCAATCACAATGCACGAAATCTGTCGACACCAATGCGCGTTTGGAAAGGGTCGACAGATTTCGCACATTGTGATTGGTCAACGCGTTGGGAACTCTTGGAGGCGCACTTGTGAATCGCCCGTATCAGAATGAACTTTTCTTCTTCGTACTATAAATGCGATGCCTGTTTCCATCACATGCATGAAATTATATTCCCCCGCAAGCGTCTAACACAAGGAAAGAGTTGGCAAGTTGACCCATCATAGAAAACATGAATGTCATTCCCCGATATAAATCCTGCGTGTCGTCGTTTCTTTTTGCCTCGTGTATGTCAGAAATCAAACTAGGCGCGCTGCATTCAAGTTGTTGGGACCACTGATAAAAAAGGCACGTTTCGTTTGTTCCGCGGATGTAGCCTTTCGGGAGCGTACAATTTCGCGATGGAGCATAATAATTTATGGCGGGGGCCCATAAAATAGACTTAACGGTTTATTGCTGCAAACATCCGCACATACTCGGTCAAGGCGACCAGTGCGGGTTTCTTGAACGAAGTTACTTTGTAGCACATTTTTTTTACAGTTATGGCGTGGGGCATATTTTACGGTTTAAAATAATGTTCGGAGGATTAAAGAACATTAATGTCTGGCTGTCTGTGATGAAGTTTTGAGACCCGTGGTGGGTTTTATTTAGCTTGAACATACAGTGACGGGCGCATTTTTATCCACGGAAAAAGCCGGTGGAAAAGTAGATGAAGTTAAGTGGTTTTTCCAGCATGCGAAAGATTAACTTTGGTCAAACGAAAGTGGATGACTAGCTCTCCAAACTCTGCCCTTGACTTGGGTCTACATGTACTACCTTAGAAAGAGAAACGCCCCTTGAAACAAAAACAAAGCAAAACAAGACAGAAGCCATCACATTTTGATTTTTATAGTCCTGTATCGATCGTTATAGTCTGACGCAAACGAAAACAAGGGGGCGGGGCAACCGTTTTCAGGTTCGACTTGTAACTTCAGTGTTTATTTGCCCCCCCCCCTTCCTGGGGGTAGGGTTCAGTATTTTCTTTGTACATTATATACAAACTTGGAGGTTTCCAGTCTTTTAGGTTCAAAACGAGGGCGAGCTTTGTGTACTAAACTAGCAAGAAATGTTCAGAATACCATCTGTGGCCTCCTTTTCGGGAAGACCCTCCTTCTTTTGTGGCCCAGTAATTCCCCTGTTCAGCTCATTAATGCAGTTCACCTAGTCTTACTTCCAAATTGAAATCACAAGTGTCTCCGAGTGTCCCCTTGCGCCCTGGGCCCAGCTTCTCCAGGCGAAACACTATCCTGTGCGCCAGCGCGTCGGCTCATGGATCGCGTTACGTGTGCGACACTACCACGGCAGACGCGGACCCGAAACCCCGTGATGCAAACATGAATATTACATTTTATTGCGAATGAGGAATAAAGAAAGTTGCAGAAAAAAAAGACTCGCTATTTGTTCACCGCCACGGGTGCATAATTCGGCACAATAAGCAGAGGTCACTGCGCAGGTGACCTATGTGTCTTTCGCGGACGCAGAGACTGTTCAGCAGTTCGCCGGAGTAAAACTTTACGACGTTTTCCACTCTTCCTGTGTTGATTAGCACTCGTCCGCAGGCTGAACTAATGAGAGCAGCAGTCACCTGTTTTTGATGAGACCTTTTTCAATGTTTTTACCTCTTAAGAGGGGGCATAAAGCCAATTCAATTATCACGTGCGGGTAATTTTGTTAAGTTCATCTTTCCCAGCAGGATTACCGTGAAGTCAGTGATCGTTTGACTGAATTTGATTGGTCGGCAGTTCTTTTTTTTTTTTAATAGAAAGGTCCGTCGAAGAAATTCGTTTTAAGATTTGCGGGAGACGATTTCGAACTGTAAAGACAAAGTCTCTTTTGAAATTTTTCTGAGCTGCAGATTGCTCGCGAGGAATGAAGTTATTGATGGATTTTTCCCAAGGAACAGACCAATTTTTAACATCTGACAGGACGTGCTGAACATACGTAAAATCCATTATGGCGCGCCGATGAACCAGGACACGATGTGGGTCGCGTGCCCGGTTTTACTTGGCGAGCTTTTTCCATCTTGTCGTGTCATTAACATGTAGCTGGTGTTGAGAGACTGGGCGAGAAGGAAACACACTTGGGATTTGGGATCGTATTTTGACAGCGGGTTTGATCTGCACGGCAGAAATTCCCCAAAATTTAACTCCGCGATACAGCGTAAAGATGGCACTGTGATCTGGTTCGTTGTAGTGATACAGTCTGAAACACAGTAGGCCAACGTCATTTATAATATGACTTTATACAGATGGAGTCCAAAAATGTATCACAAATTGCCAGAAAGAAACTGTCAAAAAAGCTAATGAGGATTCATGCATTTTCCATCTCAAAGGCCGTGTGTGCTTATTTTCGGGTCTGATGTCTTGAACAAATAACCTCAGTGGATTAACCCTAAACCACCTCAATCCTCCAAAATCCTTCAGGAGGTTCTGGAGGATTTTGGATGAACCCCCCCCCCAAAAAAAAAGAAAAGAAAAGTAGGGCCATGGATGATTTTGGAGGATCGAGGATTCAGATACCTTTCATTTTGTGCATAAGCCAAAAAATGTAGGACTTTGGAGTATTGAGGATGAATGCGGTTTTGGAAGTTGGGCAATTGGAGGATTTGGGAGGATTGAGGACGTGCCCTAGTGAAAAGGCCCTAGTGGGTTAGGGTTAACCTGTGATAAATTCATCTCACTTTGGGCCCACATGCAACCTCAATTTCTAAGCGAGGAAAATAGTCTGACACTTTTTCATTCAGTGGTGTACAACATGTAAAATGGATTTGGGGAATATGATCCAAAGTCAATACGGTCCACACTCTGATCCCCATGTAAACAATCTGAATTGCTCGTTGGCCGTTCCAAGCTACATAAATGAGTGAAGCCACACGCTGGTTCCCGATCCCTCACTGGAAAGTGTTAAGGGAACCAGTCTCAACCACTTCTTTCATCTTAAATAATCTTATACTGTTAGTGGTAATAAGGACACTGTTGCTTCATTTCTAACAATCAATGGCTTATCTAGATTTTTCCCATTGAGAACAGTGGGTTCACACTGCAAAACTAACTAATGAGCCTTTTCGGTATTCCAACAGCGCATGCCCCGCATTAAGCGTCCGGGGCCATGCAGGCACAGCATGCCAATCCGAGCGGAACAAGAGAGGGCGTGTTTTTTTGGGGGGGACACTCACTGCATAAGCGCAAGTTTGTACGTGTTTGACGCGGAGCACGCTGAGTACACATAACTAATTTATGGTCTTTGCGTACAAGCTGAACGCATGCAAGAACCCGCTTGTAACCACATGTCTTTCTTTCGCCGATTGGGGGTGCACTTTAGCTCGGGGCGGATAGAGGTCTTGAACAAGGTTTCACTTGACAGGCAAAGGTAGTTCAAAAAGCGTTCCAAGTCTGCAGCGGCGCCTACATTTTCCAATCTTCTTCCTTCAGTTGGCAATTTTATGTACGCCAGATTGCTGAGGGGTCTCAAAGGTGCGCTTATCTCCACGCACATCTGTGTGTATTGAACGCCGGTCAAACAAAATTCACTTGACTTGAAAAGCTCTATACGCGCGCGTGCGATGCTCTCCCGATGAGAGCGGCCATACGCCGACTCACACACGTGCTTTGTTCTCGAATGACCTTGGTTTTATGGAATACCGAACTGGCTAATTGGTGGGCTTGTGGTTAATTGGTTAGTATTTACCTGCGAGTCTTTGAGTCCCAGCTTGGCGGCTAGTTTCTTCCTGTCCGGTTTGCTGATATATTTCTGCTGCTGGAACTTCTTCTCCAGGCCCTTACGCTGGGCGTCGGAGAACACCGCGCGCCGCAGCATTCCCCGCCGGGGCTTCCCGCGGGCGGCCCCCGGCCAAGGGAAGGTCCCTGGCACGGGTATGACCGAGGATGGAGTAACTGAAGATGAAAACGAGACAGGAATGGAAAGTTTAGTTTCATAAGGAGGTTGAATTCGCGGTTGGGGGTTAACCAGTCTCTGCTAGGGTGCTAACAATAACATCGTGTTGTCCGACAAGTTCAGCTTTGACTTTAACTTTAATAGGCAGGAAAGAAGAGTACCCACGCAAAATCTTTGAGCTATATGAGCCAGTTTGTTTCACGTGGATTCAGATAACGATCAGTGATCCGTTGTTGGTTCACTGGCACCAAAATCCGCCTAATGGATGGAGCGAACCAGCAATGGGACCACCGATTGAGATCCAGATCTGCGTGAAACAAACGGGCCCATAGTCTCCAATCAAGTAGTTGATAAAGGAGTAGTAGGGCAAGCCCATACAGCCCATCTGCCTTTCTTTCGCTGGCAAGGGTGCACTTCAACTCAGGGCGGATTGCCTGTTTTCGCTAAGCAGGTACTGTAATAAGTGACGGCAAATTTCCCGTAATCCAAAGCTAAGTGAAGTAACTGTTGGCCCAAGGGAAGGAACCTGGCTACTTTGTGCTAATTGTTATGCCTCGGATCGACGGGTGCGTCACTAATGACTCCGTAACTGTGTCGGTAACAGCATGGAGGAACAGTAACAGTACGCTGTGGTTTCATGGTCTTTGCTGAGATCGCAGTCCCAGCGTGGGTCACTTAAAGTGACGATGACCGATTGCGGCAAAGTGGCGTGCTGACCGACACGTACATCAGTAATCCTTAGACGTCGGTTTGAGGCCGTAAAAATATTGAACCACATTATTTTCTGTGAGGCTGAAGGCTGTAGATGCTAAGCTATGAATTAAGACCCGTGTGGAACGTTGATTTGCCAATTTCAGAATATCCCTGTCAAGAGGGGTAAAAGAAAACTGGCCCACCTAATCGGGTCCATAAGCTGCGGATGAGGAAGCTCCCGCAGTGAATCCGACAGAATTAAACTAAAAAAAAAGTCGAGCTGCACTTCTGGACTACACGGCCTGTTTTTAGTATTCGAGCGCTCAGGCTCGCGCTTTGCTTAAGGGCTATCTGAATGTCCACGTCTGTCACGACAGACGTCAGGCTCGAAGATAATTGGGCATTTTATGACCAGCCCCCGCCATTTGCGAAAGGCAACGCACTGCGTGTCCGCTTGTCCATGGAGGACGCGAGAGCCGTTGTGGCTTCGGCCCAATTTGGCCGGAATTTATGGGCCCAACAAGTGAAATTTATGGCCATTTAAACACGGGTGAGTTGATTTGAGGGAGGGGAAATTCGTTACGTTAAAGTGGTGAGTGGCGCGTGTCGGTGATTCCGGTCAGGATGTGAGGCTGAGACCAATCCGGTAGGCCACCCCAGGCCTCAGGCAGGCCCGCCACATCATTTTGCGCGTCCATCAACTCGACCTCTTTGTTATTTCCCAAAGTACAAATGGAAAGATTTTTTTCTAAAAAGGTGCCAAGTGCTCAGTGAGAAAGCTTCTACATGCGCCTTATTTTTTTTGCTAAGGATACCAACAAAACTAAGAAGAAAGCATCAAGCTTCATTTTTGTAGAGTTCATTTTTTTGCAAGAAAGTTGAAAGGCAGTTCTAAGTTATAGCAGCTAATTCAGTCATTGGCTTCTTCGAGCTTCGGGTGTTCTCGATTTCTGCTGGGAGCTATGCAGTCTGGAGACACCGCTTGACGGTTCTTTGAATATTCCCACTGGCCTTGGCATCAACTTTGAAAATGAGTGCAAACTTGCCTCGGACTATTACACATCGCAACTTGCGATGACTAGCATCTTTGTGCCCGAGTTCAACCTGCCGAATTCCTTGCTACTTGCTCGTTGGAAAGTTCTGTGCTGTGCCACTTAACGTCAATACACCGATCTTTTTTCTACCATGAATAAGGAACGATAATGCATACAAACAAACCTCATTCAAGTAAACTGTCACAGTGTGGACACCTCCCCAACAGCAGAAGCTCTCTCTGCACTCTGAAGGGCAAATCGGCCCCCTCTTGATCCGGTAATTGGCATGTTTTCATTGACTTTTGGGCTTAACTCCTGCACCAGCGGGAATATGCGGGACTAGTGTTGACGAGCAAACGTGGCGGGCAGACAAAGCTTGTGGGTACAATATGGTGTTCTGAAGCGGATAGGCAAACGTCATGTGTGTGAGTTGGAACGTCGTCTTTTTGAGTAGGAACGTCATGTGTGTGAGTTGGAACGTCGTCTTTTTGAGTAGGAACGTCGTGTTTGTGAGTTGGAATGTTGTGTTTGTGAGTTGGAACGTCGTGTTTGTGAGTTCGAACGTCGTGTTTGTGAGTTGGAACGTCGTGTTTGTGAGCCGAACGTCGTATGAGTGAGTTCGAACGTCGTGTTAGTGAATTGTAAATGTCGTGTGTGTGAATTGCAAACGTCGTGTGTGTGAGTGGTTAGGGCCAATGTCATGGATCATTAGCATGATTTTTTTCCCTTGATGAAAACAGGATTACCAACCAAAATGTTCATGTGTTTTATATTGCTTGTGACTGGTGTTCAGCTGATGTTCGCTTATCATAAAAATGATATGGATTTTTGGCTGGTAACCTGTTTCTCCTGAGCAAGACATTACTGTGCTAAGCAAATTTTTGTGCTTAGCAGCTTCATGAAATGGGCCCAGCGCCTGGTAGCGAAAACTACACGCAGTACTGTCTACACAAGTCTGCTTCCCAGACCCTAACGATCTACCTGTATATACGCGACGTTCAACCTCACACACACGACGTTTACAATTCACAAGCACGACGTTTGAACCCACACACTCACACGACATTTGCCTGTCCACTTTAGAACGCCATACGCAGAGTTAGCTACTTGAGGGAGGCTTTCTAGGAGGGTACGGTGAGACCACTTGAGAATCGTGGTTGCTTGAAGAAATTTAAGTGAGAGTGACGTGAAGTGCACGATGTAGGAACAGCTAAATACTGAGTACCAGTGACGCCCTATGTGGAAGTAATTTTTCCTAATCACGCTAGTCACTCATTCCCTTACTTAAATACTATGAGGCAACACGATTTCAGAAGAAAATCGAACAAGCAATATTCAAAAAAGCAACTTTAATTGCTTGTTCCAGATTTTTATGCTTGACTATAGCTTTAGGCCACGCACTTCGACGTCACATTTCCGTCTAAGAATTCCGTGCTACCTTGAACTTGTTTTCCGTCTGAGCCAGCGATCCGAGACACAGGTGAATTCATAACAACGAGTCTGTGTGAAGTCAAGCTAACGCCCGTCACTGCCAAAGACATTGCTCGGAGGTAGGAATACTTGTGCAGTAAGTACCACGCCGACCAGGTTTTTCCAGACGGCATGTGATTCTGTCCATTAGTACAAACGCTCACACTGTCTCTCATATACCCTGACATCCTAATTTAACTTTGTAAAACTATCCCTCCAATAAAACTAACGACTATAATAAGCTGCCAGGGGAATGTACGGCCCAAACAGGGAACGAGGAAGAGCGTATTCGTGTGTACTTGTATTTACCCCCCCCCCAAAAAAAGGATCAAAACCGGTATTAACACATCAAATTAAACAGCTCAATAAAAAATGCACCAACCGCCTTGTCAAAAGGGGAAAAACCCTCTGGAAGCCAAATGGTCTGCCTCACTCGATGACATATACATAGTTGGAAATCAAAATAGTGATAAATCACAATTAAAGTCAGGCCGTCTGCGCGGCCCAAGTTTTAAGGCAAGACCACCGAAATGCAAGGCTCAACTTCTGTTGGGCACGTGGCCACACCGCGACCGACTCAAGTGAGGGCCAGACGCACCGGGAAAGGGAAAAAAGAGAAAAGCTGCTGAACGGGTGAAGATTCCCTTTCATTTTGACGAATAAATCAATTTTACTTCTGAGTTGGAGGGCGTACCCTCTGCTTAAAGACCTTCATCAGCGATTGCATTACGGACAATTAGTGTTGTAAAAATTTACTGTCTTGGATTGGTGATATATGGTCCATGAAACAGCCGTTCACTTCCACGTTAAAGGCGGTTGTGGTGTGTACTTTTTAGACAATGGATTTGATACACAAACATGACAATATTTTATATTTTTGCGTTATCCACAGGATTCGGGATGGATCTGGCTCCCTTCTATTTTTGTCTTGTATTATCGTCATGCGCGGAATATTGTCGGGAGCAGCAATGGGCTTTTTGAGTGAGCTCTTGAGTTCAAGTTTAAATGTGTATCGTACCGTTCTTGCAAAACGCCAAGCCTTCGACGCGTAGTCTCGAAAATTTTTGCTTTTTTCATTGACGGTGCTCAGAAAAAAAATTGATTGGGGACAGTGTCGTGAAATACCAATGATCAACGGTTTGTCCTATTAAGTTGACACTGTGCATTATGCAGAACATAGGCCTACTGTGTCCAATTTCAGGCAAAGTTTTGATCCACATTCGTCAATGTAGGTTTGCAGATGTTGCCCCCTCCCGGTTGCAAGATGACCAGGGGGTATTTATTCCTGTAACCTCAGGTGATTACATTTTTGATAATCGCCGATAACACAAACTAATTAAGTGTCAACGGGAGTCTGAAGTTAGTAGGATGATCAAGCTTGTGACTGGTACTGCTTCAATAAGTTCCAAGACAGTACCCTTTAGATATATGTCATCCTTGTCAAGGGATGGGTACACTAAATAGCCGTGCTCCGGCCAACCTGACGGGACTGAGATCTGGCTCTCCCTCGGGTGTGAGCGCCCAGCTTGCTCTACAAGCTCTGCCCGGACAACGAACTAAAAACATGCGTCTCTGACGTCGAGTTTCCCGATTTTTTCCCGTGTCCGACACCGTGCATAACTTTTTATGGTGGGCTGTCACAACAACTTTTCGTCGAGGCCCATAAAAATTAACCGATTTAAGTTGTCTCCCCCAATAACAGGAGACAGTGGAAGCCTTATAACATATCCAGACAGTGTCATACACCCACAGACTCTCTCTTTAAGGGGTTAATAACAGACCTTAAAGTTTGACGCTGCTTAATTTTGAGGGTGTTTGCTAACAGAGCGATGGATTGACCGTTTGTCCAGATATTTCGTTGCCAGGTCCCTCGATTAAAACTGACAAATGACCGCCAAGCCGTAACCAGAACCGACGAATGTGTAATGACTTTATTAAACCAGATCTTTTTTCAGATTACTGATTGATAAACCAATTGGGACAAATTTTCCCAATTTGATCTAGTGCGTTAGAGTAGAACTAATTTTAAAGTTTATTTCACCGAAATTTAACGTCTGAACATTCTGTTCCGAAATGGCAAATCAGGAGGTGTGTGACATCCTATGCAGAAGTGTAGCATGGATACCAGGAGGTGTGTGCCATCCTATGCAGAAGTGTAGCATGGATACCAGCCAAAACTTCGCACCCGACGCGACGTATAGGCCGAGTCAACAACAGTACGGCTTTCGGTTATTATACACACTATTTTGCAACTCTAAAAACCTCTTGAGACAAAATTCGGATACACCCTTATGGCTGGTTCACCGTTTACCCACTTCCAGACTCCTGCCAATGAACAGCTTGGATTTTGATGTAAGCTGAACCAGGTACTCACCTGGTAAAAACGGGTTCCTTGCAGCCATGGTGGAATGCACGCCCGTTCCATACAGTGGTCTGGTGAGATGAGCCAGAGACGTTCCGAGATGCTTGTAGCCGCTGCTCAAGGCTACACCACTCACAGATGTCGTGCACATCGCAGACGCACCTGCAGAAGAATATACATAACAATAAGTAGGTAACTGATGCGTTTTCGAATGATTGCTCCAACTTTTTCTCCTCTGTTTCCTTCACAGTGCCTTTTAAGTCTTGGCTAACTGTTGCAGCAGATAATGTAACCTTAGTGAGCATGTTTCACGGGTCAGCAAGGTTTTATGGCTTGCTTGCGTCCTTACATGTGGTTTATTGAAAAGCGCCAAAATATCTGTACATGTTTACTACCATTGTAAGCACCGAATTATCATTCGCGTAGAATCCTGTGGCTGTATCCAAGCTGTGAAAGAGGACACAGATCGATCAGTCTGGTTAATGAGGGAAAATGTATTCTTTGAACGGTCTGTTCTCGGCAATGCTTTTCTCTTATCAGCAGTACTGAGTGTATTTTGGTCTTCATGAGGTTGCAACCAAAAAACAACAATGATAAAAAAATAATAACAATTTATTGTTGATGTAGCGTCTTACATCTCAAAACGCTTTACAAATCACAAACATGAAAATAAAAACTAAATGACAATAATTTATTTAAACATTAAGAATAATACAATACAAAAGTGAATATCCTAAGTTAGATTTTAAAAATCTGGTCACAAAGCGTACATCTCTTGACCAGTATTATTTTATATCCTGCTATGTTCCAAGTCAGTAAACCCCTTTCAAGGGAAAGATAGAGTGTTAATGTCATCAGCTTTGAAGCAACCGGTTTAAGATACCTGTCGTCAGTAGAGGGCGTTTGGCGGAGATTGCGTTTAGCATTTATGTACATACAAACACACGTAGATTAATGGCTGTCGATCCCACAAAGCTTTCTTGTTCAAATTAAAACAGGGGGAAAGTGTTATGACACAAGGAGAGAGGGAGAGCCATGATAAAACAAGCCAAGCAAAGCAGTTTGACATGTGGTTTGATAACAGTGATGGTCCCTGTGCTGAAATCAATCAAACAAAATGAAAGCAGCGAACAACGCAGCTTGATGAGGAGGAAACGTAGCTCAACGGCCGACACAGACATTGCACAAAGTGACGCCACAAAAGTATAGCAGCAATAAGCTTATCTAATACAAAGACAGCTCTCTGATGGAGATAGAGAGAAATTGTTTGGAAAATAAAAGACGGTGTTTCCCGTCTGATCGTCAACACCGTGCACTCTGTGGGTCAACTTTCAGGAAATGTGCGCGCTCTCTCTTTGGTATTGTTAAGTGCGTTCTTGTTTTCGCAAGAGCAAGCTCTTGCAACACATCATTCGGGATTTCTCAGTAGTTCATATTAGAAGAATTCTAAATGCGGATTCTTTGAGTAATATAAAGTTTGGTTTCGCAATTACTTTCGTAAAGTCTACCGGTAAATCCATAGATATATCCGTTTTGGAAAAACAAGGCATTTTAAAAGTCCGAACCTAATGTCTTGTTAAAATGTCACCTTCTCTCACTGTTCTTGATAAGACGTTCTTAAACACACGTATTGTTCACTTTACTCTCCGTGTTAACATAACACCCAAAAGGCCCTACATAGGTTCAGCTTTGATAAACAAAAACAAATAAAAAGTATCTATCCAAGGAGAAGGTTAGCATAATACCAATTTTATGTGGTGTCGTATCCAGATATTAATCTGATTTTATCATGTTTCTCTATGGATATAACGAATTACATATTAAACACCAGATTCTGAAAAGGTACTTCAGATTTTCGTCCTTGTACACAAAGGATTCTTGAGACATCATTCGGCAAGAAAAACAAATTACTGCTCCGTCAGTGCCAATTGATCACTCAGCCAATACCAGCTCGTCTCACTCGGCGAGTCGGCGGCCATTAGCCACTCACAGCCCAACCCACTTCTGTCGACGACCCTCCCGGTCGAAACGGAGGAAGGCCGTTTGTCCAATCACCGGCAGCAATTTTGCTGCCGGCCCCGATGTTGTAGGGACCAGTCACCGCCCGCTCACGCGTGCGCGGCGAGTCGGCGGGCCAGCACCGACCGTCCACTGGCCGTTACTGACGGCAAGAAGATAATTAGCAATGCAACACCAGTCGCGGAAACATGACGAGTAAAAAAGAGACTACGACATATTAACTGATACGCCAAGAAACCTCGGGGCCCCACTCCTATATCCCTAATTTAATTAACTTAATACGGGTTTTATATTGACAGTGTGTGGCGTGCTCTGGGCCAGGATTTTTAGTCTTAACTCAGCCGTCAGATGATAGTCCGGGCACCGCAGGCAGTGTGGAAATCTAACAATTATTAAAATAACCGAGGCCACCAGCGCTGCTCAACCCACACTGGTGACAAGTGTGACTGACTTGATGTCACAGAGAAATTAACTCTTCTTATTTTGAATACTGGTGAATTTTCATGGAATTCAATTAAAAGCTGTGGAAAATTAGTATTGTCATATGTTTAGTGCTTTAGACCAGAAGTCTCTGCTGCAACGGTATGTGTTTTTTAAAAAACATTCTTGGAAAACGTAGATCTCAGTTTTGTTTTCTTCGGAAACTACATAGAAATTATGGGGTTTTTTGGGGGGGGGCTGATTTGTAGACGAGAAATTGAATGATACGGACAAACTGAGAGAAGCTGCAAAAATAACTTCAATTCCGATTCGCTTATCATTTTCTGTGTCCCTTACATCCTTCAAAATTATGCCCATCATTTGAAGTATTCTATAATGGAATATGGAGCATAGCTTAAAGCCCAAACTCACGATTTACTCGGAATTAACATGACACATTGCCTTGTGCATCAACAAACTTGGGTACGGCATAGTAATGGTTGGAGACTGAAGTTTACACCGGCTGAAGGGCTAGTCGCAGACAGTCAGAGACTGTCCGCCAGTGTCGCTTGCTTCAGTGTGAAATGTCCCGCTATAGGAATTATTTTCGCGATTACTGTGACGATCGATGTTAAGGTTTGTAAGCCTACAGCCTGTGGTACCTGACGACTATACTGCAATAGACGAATCGTGTTACAATGAACAGTCCCAACACAGCGCAGTTCGGGAGCCAACACAAAGAAGGTAAGTGCCGTAAAGGATTTGTTCGCACATTCCACACACAGGTGATATCGATAGTATAAAGGGGCCAAACCGTGTAAAACAGCAGAAAAAAATCGAGTGGTTGGAACCTAAGTTGGAGAGAGATATCGAACGGTTGTCTGTGGTAGTTCGGCCAGCCGACAGGGAGCTTGCCTTTCAGTTTTTATTGTACCCTAACTTCGTTGACACAGAAGCAGTTTTTCTCTATAGGTGCAATGTTAATTGAGTTGGAGAGGTTTCATTCTTTGAGAGGTTTTCAGTGGGCACAAACGGTTATTCAGAGATTTTTGTTTAGCTGTTAATTAAGAACAGGAAGATTGTGATGTCCTCATTATGACGCAAACGACGAACGCAAATTTGAATGGAGTTGTCTTTTCTGCTGTCGCCGTCTGCCAGTATGTATCAAAATGGAGAGATTTAGATTTTCCCCTCTGTTTACGGTGTTTACTTACCCTGCGACGAGCATGCGTCAGCCGAGAGAATCGCGTTCACGCCGAATTTGAGTCCGAAGCCATGCTCGCATGCAGCCACGCCACCGGCAGCGGGCGAGGGGCTCCCCTCCCCTCGGCCCTCTCCGCTACCGTTCCGCTGCTGCTGCTGCTGCTGCTGCTGCTGTTGCTGGTGTTGCTGCTGGGTCTGCCGGAGACAGTTGCAGGTGGTGCAGGAGGCCGGATGCTTGGGGATGGGTTTGTGGATGGGAGTTCTTTGGGACAGGATGTCTTTGACGAGGAAAGAGGTGGTGGAGCCGGCCGGAGGGGCCGCGGCCGGCTGGTGCGGCTGCACGGCCGGGTGGTGGAGATGGTGGTGGCGGTGGTGATTCTCCGGATGGTGATTGTTAGCCTGCTGCTGCTGGTGATGATGATTCTGGTGATGGTGGTGCTGCTGTTGTGGTTGATGGCGAGGCTGCTGGAGGGATCCCGCCGCCGACATTGGGACACGGAAGGCTTGCGGCCTGAATACGGTGTGGTAGAGCGGGGAGGGGGCAAGCAGTCCCCCGAATGGGGGCTTGTCCTCCCCACGATCCCTGTCCAGACGGCACAGGAGATGGGGCACTGCGTGTAGGCTGTGCTGAGCGTGCAAGGTTGCGATGGAGCTAGCCGGGGCGTAAGTGTACGGCGGCTCTCCGGGTAAACTTCGGGCGTCCACCGTCGTCATATTTTTCTCTCTTCTTCGTGTAGCTCTCTCTCTCGCTGGTTTTAAGCCACACTTTGTTGCCTCGATTGTTTTTGTTCCGACGTTGATTTATTGTGTATTCCACGTGCTAGATGAATGCACCAAAAATCAGAAATGTAAAAAGAGAAAAAAAAGAAAAAAGAAATCCAATAAAGTTTCCGAGTTCCGTACAGTACCGCCCGTCCACCGCGCACATTTCAACTGTCTGGATGTTGCGACAAGTTCAGCTTCCCTATGAATTATACACGGGCTGGTATCGTATAAGTTTTTTGGCTTTTTAATGCCGCGCCTGGTTGATTGGCAGCCGTTGTGCGCTCTCCCATTGGCCGAGGGGCCCCATGACGACTGCCGATCCTCGCACTTCCACCGCGGGAGCATCAATGAAAGTGGGCGTGGCCTCCGGGCAAGGTAACCAAGTGCCGTATTTGACGACATGTTTATATACACTGGCTAATAGTGGTTGCAGCAATGGCAATTATCATCATAATACGGGGTGATTATATGGGCAATGTATATATGTGTGTCTAAGGTATTAATGCCCCCCTGTCTAGTATAGTGCGGGCTTTGAGGTTGTCGTGATTTGGTCGCGTGTGGGCGCTGTAGGAAGCCGCGGTCGGGCTTCGGATGCCTGAGTGCGGCGCGATCTTGTCTGAGCTGTCACGGTGCCGTCCCCGGCCGTTCATCACGCATTGTGTGCCGGGCCGAGAAAATTCTCTCCACGGTCTGCCGAGCGCACCGGGCGGGGCGTTATGGGTGCCGCCCGGTGCTAGAGAACGCCGCGTCGTAACAGCAGGGTCATCAATCACCCCAGCACCCTCGAGACCACGAGCTTGCAAACCTTGCAACCCCCAGCCCTGGTCCGTGTCTAAGCCTCAGCGGCTTGTGTCCACTGGTGCAGGATTTGGAGCCTTTGACGGGACAATCCGCTGGATTTGTTGGGGGTACTAACAGAGGTCCTACCAGCAACAAAAAAGGCCAGGCCCCTCCAGGCTGTAAATAGAACAAACTGGGACAGACACTTCAGTGTCGTCAGCTAATTCCAATGAATTAACCCCCCCTCCTTGTGAATTGTCTATATGAATGTTACATGTATTGTACCTTTTAAGCCAACTGAACTTTCACTTCAAACCAATAAATTTATGTCATTTTTTATTTATTTTGTAGTACCAAAAATTGTAGAAAAACCCCTTTCATCAGGGCGAAAGTGACACAAATTTACATTGATCAAACATTTGGGAACACTTATCCTATATTGTTTGGTCTTTTAAATTGAATTTCAAGGCAAATTTTTTTTTCTATACAGCTCTTCTCTCACGAACACAGCTGAGTATATTTTAGACATGAACTGAAAGAAGACACTCCCTGAACAAACGAGGGGCGTTAGGTAGCAATGTGTCGGTGTGTAGGAGCATCTTTATCCAAATCCGATGGCTACACTGAACGTTTTTTGCACGGGCGTCAAATATTCCTATGTGTCGTTTAGATTCTAAGGTTTTCTGGTGAAGGAAATTTCTGTTTTGAGAGTCTCGATGGAGCTAAGACCGTTTTCAAAACCAGTGGATTGGGCGTAGACTTTGGTTTCGCTGGTTCCAGCCATTTTGAAGCAGCGTTCAATCCACATGTTTAAGCTCTGACTGGGACCAGCGAAACTGAAGTAAGTGAGCGGCGTTACCGCCATGGGCGCGCATGTCATGCGCGCAGGTTGTTTGCACGCGTTAGTTTGCCTTTCTGACCAATAGGGCATTGTGTCTTTGCCAAAATACCGCGCATGCACGTAAAGTTATCTTCAGCGTGCAACACCTGCATACAACCGCCTCTATATAAATCCTCGTATCGCCTAAATTTCGAGTTCACAAACGTCTTCTCACCGAGCAACGGAACATCCATTCACCGGTCGCACGAAACGGTCACTTTTGTGTGTGACGCAGCCGCGTTGGGGCGAATATTTTGGTGACATGTGATCCAACGATTCACCAATCAAATGATGAGGGATTTGCCCAGGCGTCAAAAGAAGATCTACAGGCCTGTGCTTCACATGAATCCGCATCCCGAACAGTAATCTGTCGTTGGTTACTGACATCAAACCCGTCGAATGGATGGAGAGAACCAGCGTTGAGACACCTGATCGAGATCCCGATCAGTGTAAAACAGGCCTTACATTGCTCTGTTATGGGACGCCCAGTACTTACACGAGCTAAGGAAAGTAGTGCGCACCTATAAAGAGCGGTCATTTGTCATCAAGAGATCTTCTGCAGAAACGTGCGAATATGAATTTGAAATGTCTGAAATGTTCAAAGCTGGATTTTAATTCTGCCATTTCTCCAACCTTTGAAAAGCATGGCTGTCAATAACATTTCCCACTTTTAGCCGATGTAAATCAAGAGAAGACTGAAAGATTCCACTCAAAAAAGAGAGAAAAATAGTAAAAGCGTACAGTAATGCATGATAAACTCAACTGCAAGTGTGCCAAATAAACCATGTTGAAAAAATAACAGTGGACCTAAAGCGAGCCAAAAATCCCAGAGTTTGCAGCAAATAGACCCATTTGCAGTTGTAGCTTTTGCTTACAAGCAGCTGGCAAAAATAGCTCGCCATCGATACAAAACAAGAGAATAACCTCGCCATTCTAGCCTCGGACGGACTTTCTGTAAACTTCCTCAGATTACAGCCCGCAGAAAATCACATTTCAGGCAATGTTTATAATCCAAAACGGCCTGTACACTGTTGATCGTACAGACTTGTTTAATTGCGACTCAAAATTCAGGGTCATAGCAAATGGCAAAAAAAACCCGATTAATTACGTGTTTGAGAAGATGACGCAAACCACGTGGGGTCTGCAAAGACTACGGTAAATACCCATTACCAAGCAGCGCCCCAATAAAAAAAGCACCAAAAAAAAAAGGAGCGCCAACAAAAGACCCTCAAAAATGGTCATTTTGTAACTGATAAAATAATGACAGCTTCTCAACACACGTCTTTATTTCTATTCATACACAAGTTGAATTGACGGCAGAAACCGGGCTATTGTTGGCCGAGTCAAAGTCATCGGGCCGCCGATTGGCACTCGTGGAGACACAAACAGTTGATTAAATCGCCCATTATTTCCAGACGACACGTACAAATCGCTTTGTATCATTACACCAAATACACAATTCAGGAAAGAAAACCTCTCCGCGTTCGAGCAGACTATGTTCGCAATCCCTTTCGGATCAGGGGAGCTGCGTGCGCAGTGCCGTCCTATTCAACAGGCAGACCAAACACTGGCCTCGTGATCGCGCCGATATTAGAGCATGCGTGATCATTGGGTAGCCGTCCAAGTGTTTGCAGAGTACTGTAAATCGTTCAGGCCCCTGAAAAACCGGCGACTGGATTTCTAGATCAACTATTGACTATAAGCGTACAATGCGATCGCGTTATTTAAACGACTGCATTGCTTTGCTTTTGGATGCGGCGGATGTGGTTAGAGGTGGGGGTGTTATGGGGGGTTCCCTTGAAGAAACAAAATAAATGTCACATTTCTTTTGTTTTTTTTTGTTTCAAAGTTTGGTCTCCGGGTGCAACGTTCAAGTCCACTTACTGGTGTAGCCGGGGTGGGCGGGGAAAGTCCCTCCCCCACAAATTCCCAGTGACCCTCAGATGCCCCCCACTAAAAAACAGATAAATGAATATTGAACAAGGCTAACAAAAACTTGCCCCCCCCCCAAAAAAAAAGAAATACTGAATGGTGGCCCCCTTATAGGATGCTGGTACCCCCTGGTGCCCCTCCCCCCTGGTAAAATCTTTGCTACCTTACTGAGTCTACTCCCGCGTTGGTGTCACGAATTATCTTGATCCTCCGGTACTGGTTAAATGGAGTCGTAACACAGGCAGACAACAAAGGATTTCATTCATAAGTTGTTTGCGTCTCTTTATCGATGATTTTCGGTTGGAAGGGCTTGTCTTCTGCGCATTTTGTAACGCGCCATTGTGTGATTTGTAAAATCAAAAGATTTCGTTTTGTAAAAAAGAAATAATTTCATTTTTTTCCCTGAGACCTTCAAAAGTGAAGTCTATAAGAGGTAGATTTCTTTACTTACGATCCATTTGAAATAAAACTTATGAATAACGTACTATCTCACGAAATTTTGACAAAGATGTCAGACGAAACTGTGTAAAAACAAACACATACAAATCCACAAGCTATGTCCAGGGCCGTTTTCCAATACTCAACTTCGTCTTCGTCTCAGGTTCGACTCTGAAACCAATCCCAGATTGTGGGCCTGAGACGTTAAAATTAATTGAAGTACTGCAATGTTTCGCTCTTTTGTATCTGACTTGATGTTTTGTGGCATGATCAGACTTACTATTGCGCTTACAACTTCATTGTCAGGTAGTTAAAAAAAACCCGGTTGAAGTCTGAGACGGAGCCGAAGTCTAGTACTGGAAAACGGCCCAGTTCTGAACCTAACCTATGTACTCGGCTCTTCAGTCTTCAACAGAAAGAACTTCTCGAAATTTTCATCTTGTTCATTACCATCTCTTAAAAAAGCGAAGAATTTTTTATCAATTCTGTTTTTCTCATCACTCGAAACGCTGCACGAACCGTATTACAAAACCTGTGTTTGGCAACCAAAACCTTTTCAACACTTTCTGCTACCGGTTGTAAACATGTTTTACAAATATGTCAAACAGGCTTAGAGACTTTGTGATTTGTGTGTGACTATTGAACGCTGACGTTTAAGAATTGGAAACGTAGTGTTTAACTGTCTACAACTTTTTTTTTTAAAATCCATTGATAGCAAGATTTTGTGAAATTTTTAAAGACGGTATTTTAGAGAGTGTAGCGGTGTTTAATAGGTGCTCCCCGTCAACAGACTCAAAGGGGGGGTGTCCGTAGAGGTGTGGCCAAACCTACGGAAGCATATTTAATTTTTTTTTTTTTGGCCTAAATAATCCAACCGGGCGACATAGTGGGTCAAACTTTTTTGGCCGTGCCCTAAATACGCTTCCGTGCAAAACAGCTGCAGCCCGCATTAAAAATGTTAACAGTCCTTGATCCATTTTGATTCGGTGCACTGCTCTCCTTATTCTTTTGTTGTGCAACTTGTGGTTGAGTTTTAAGGTACATGCACTTCATGACATTTGTTGTATGGAGATCGCCCAACGGGAAAACGTCTACTGTGGTTGGGGTGGATATTGTTTCGGCGAGTCGTCCCTCAACGGCGACCGACTAATTAGTATGGC